ATATGTTTTTTGAAAAGATAGTAATAAATGAAAGTAAAATTGGATTATTTTTCATATCAAAGGCAATAATACCAAATAGTTTCTCTGGTGTGAAAAACTAAAAGTGTAAATAAGATATAAATTGTACAACTGACAATGTGAAACAGGAAGAAAATGACTAAAGGTGTAGCAGAAGAGGGAAGTATTGGGGAAAGGGAATAAGGGAAAAGAAACAAATATGAGAAAAATGAAAAAATGGAAACAAAAGCTTTGTACATAGGAAACAGTGGAGGGGGTTAAGGCAGGGCAGGGATATGGGAAAAAATGAAAACCAATATATGTCATGTAAAGGTATAAGATCCAAATGATAGATGTAACTGTACTGTATACTTAAAACGTACCAATAAACTCAATGAGAAAAAAATTGAAAAGGCAATAAAAAATTTCATGTGTTTTAACCTCAATTGCATAAGGAAACATTAAAATCCTTGAGCAAGGCAAATAGGGTTTTCAGAATCAAATCAGATTTGGACTGGGGATTTAGCTTAGTAAAACCACACCTGCCTTGCAAACACAAAGTCCAGAATTTGATCCCTAGCACCAGGAAAGTAATTAAAACAGACTTGATTACCCCCAGCTATAAAATTTTCATTTATTTCCTTCAGAAAACATAGAGGGCACTATTCAAACAATTTTATTTCAAATAATAGACAAATAGTAAACAAAATTTCATCAGTATAAGAAATGATTCTTATCTTTAATATTATAACAGGACAAACATGTAGAGCTTTGAAAATAGATACAACCACTGGATTGATTTGTAGTACACTAATAGAAATAATAAGAAGGCATAAAATTCGTCTGTTAAATTTGAAATTTAATATGGTCAACTGAAAGCACATTTTAAAAAAATGTATAGGAATATATAGAGGATTGAGAACATGCATGAGATTTCTAAAAATGAGTTAGTTAATGAGTTAATTAGTTAAAAAATGTAGCAAAAATGACCAAATAATCTCAATCTAATACTGCACTGTCAGAATCCATTCCCTCCTGTGTGTATGAGGACAACTCTTCTTCTTCTCTGTATTTTCTGTCTTTTTCCTGCCTTGTTAGGAAAACCTGAGGGTCTCAGCAGATACCCACACCTATCCCATAGAACAAGGTTATGACTACCAAGTGATCCCACAAGTGGAAATAGCCTTATACTCCCTTTCTGATTTTGAAAACTCCAGGAAAGATAATACAATGGGAGTGTAAGAAAACATGATTCCAAACAGAGGCAATGCACCAAAAATGTAAGCTGTAACATAAATGCTTTGTTATCAATAGATGTATCAGAACAAGCAAACCTGATAACAATGCATTCCTGTGTGTTGTAGTACATCTCTCTCATTTTTTTTTTAGTTTACTGCCCTTACTGTTGCCTTGTTAGAGACACCTGAGGGTCTCATCAGGTGCTGCAGGACAAATATTTTATGTGTAAATCTCTCTTTCCCAAACTGAACAATTATTCTATTTTTCACATAAAATAACCCTAAGTCAATAGGAAAATTTCTCAAGGTGTATTGAGGACACCATGAGCTCATAAACAAGAGGGTCATCTCTTAATAACTCTTTGTTTTTCCACAGAGAATATTATATTTTGAAAATGGAATTATAAATATATTAAAATAACATATTTAGAATTCAACACTTTGATGATAACCAATGTAAACATTTTATAGCAATGTATTTAAGCAATATTTATTGATGTAAATCTCTTTATATCTATAAATGTAAATCTTTTATAACAAACTTGAAACCAACAAGCAAACATTTATATTTCCTTGATAAGTCACTTCTGCACACCTTCTCAACATACTTAGTCCTTCTAGTCTTGTGTATCCTTGTATCCTTATAACAAGAGAAACATACCAAATCATTTTATATATTTATATAAAAAGACTAATAATAGTATGTTATGCATTGATAGCAGCAACAGCTTTTCCAGGTTCTGCAGTCATCTGAACAAAATTATAGACAATCATCATATTCCATTAAGAAAAAACCAAAGAAAAGAATAATATCCAGAAAACAGCAAAGTTCTGTTGCTGTTGTGGTACCTGGCAACATTTTCTTTATTAGCCTCTTAATCATCATCTGGAAAGAGAACATTCTAGAGTAATATCATTAAATGTAGCTCTGATAAAGCACGGTCGCTACTATGTATCATAAAGCAGGTACTAGATATTTTACATTCATAGAGATATGATACAGTATCATCCTACATCAATAATACTAGATTCAGTTTTGGTTTCTGCAAATAAGATTGCTACCGCTTTTTTTTGTTCTGGGCTCCTGTCACATGAAGAATTGTTTTCTATATTTTCACCTTCAGTCTATGGGCTTCTTTTTGCCCTAGGTGTGCTTCTTATATATAAATTGAATTTTGGGAAACTTTAACAGTGCTGCCAACTTTGGAAAAAGTCATCCCAATTTACTGTGTTGAGGTGGCATTGTACAGAAATGGACAACCATATTGGTCTAGAAATGTTAATTTATTTTTATTTTTTATTTTTTTTCCATGTTTACAGGGGTAACACATTGTACTAAATATGTAACGTCATATCTATGTGGGATTGATTACAGAAACTAATATTCTCTAAATAATGAAAAACAAATAAGATGAGACTGTAAGAGAGAGAAGCAATTTAAATATGTTCAGGGACCATTTTCATCCCAGAATTAAGGATTATTTTAATGTTACATCATTGCCTTTTCTCTTTTACTTTCCTTTTTAGTTTTATTTTAGGGTTCCCTATTTTTAATGTTCATACAGAGATTTCTTTAACTGAAATACTGAAGTTTCTTTGGTGTGAAAAACTATAATAGTACACAGCATCCTAATGAGATAATAATGTGAAATAGGAAGTAAAGGGCTAAAGTTGTAGGGAAAGTGGGAAGGGTGGGGGAAAGGTAATAAGGGAGAGGAAAAAATATGAGAAACTGAAAAAATAGAAATAAAGTGTTTGTAAATGGGGAGGGGAGGAGGGGTTGAAGGGAGAGCAGGGACAAGGGGAAAAAATGAGAATCAAGACCTATTATGTAAAGGTACAGAATCCCAATGATGAATGTAATTGTATTGTATACCTAGATTGTACCAATAAACTCAATATAAAGAAAAAAAAGAAAAAAAAAACAAAATCATTTTATATCAAAAGTATATCTCTTTTACTTATAATTTTTAAAATATTTTTTTCATCATCTCACTATAAACCTTTTATAACAAACTTGTCTTTAGCTGCTTAAATTTGAATGTGTCCCTTTGCTTTGTTTTTCTGTTTACGCTTTTGTTTTTTAGGGGGGAGGGGGTACCAGGGATTGAAATAGGGTCCTTGAGCTAGCAACGCAGTCCATTGACCTTTATTTGTTTTGAGATTCTTACATTTTAAAATTTAACTGGATGTCCATAGAATAACATTAACCTTGAGCTTTTTATCAACAAAGTACAAAAAAGATCAAATTAACCCTATAACAACAGTTCAAGAATTTTCAGTGTACAAGAAATGTTTTTATCACACCCACTAAACTTAACTCAAATTGAAACAAAGATATATTTATCAAATAGTTAATATTTATAACTTTATTTCTTCTGTAAAAATCTCTTGATAATCTGGTAAAACACAGTTGCAGTTTCTCTGGCTTTGTTTTGGATTTCAGACTTTGCAGGCAGCATCATGGTGATAACACAGTGTTGGCCTTGGGGTTCTTAAAGCCTGGAGTATTTTTTCTCTCTCTTTTGTTTTATGCTCTTCAGAACTTTCCTAGCTGTTTTCATTCCATCAAAGATTTGTTTTCTCATTGTAATTCTTTCTAATGTGAGTGCAATCCCTGTTCCATTCTCTCTGAGTCTGACCATAGTTTGCCATCTCTACCCTCCAGTTCATTAAGGCCAAGTAGTTCTCCTCATGGTTTTGTCCCTACCTCCTCTCCACCTGTGATCTTAGCAACTCAAGCAGAGTGAGAGGAATTCAACCTCCTCCAAAGGGGAAGCACTGGGTTTTGCCGATAACAATGTCACATTTTCTGAGAGGACAAGTCCACTGTGTGAGAAACAGCAGATTTGGCAAGCAGTTGTTCTAAAACCAAAATTAAACAATTCACACCAGTAGTTGATTGCTGTGAAGCACAAGCTTGAATGGCTCTCAGACTGGGTTGTTCATGTCCCAAAACAGAGTACACATGGCTCCAAGTTGTCATAGTCTCAATTAAAAACAATTACAACTTTTTTGCACATATTAGATGTTAGCCATAGAATCACAGATATAGGCCACACTCAAGTTCTGTGATTTGGGGAGGTATATTTAAGGGCAAATGCCCCCTCCTTTTGTCTTGGTGCACAGAGTATGCTTTTGTAGCTCATTCCACTCACTATTCTAACTGTATCTCTTTCATACACACAATTGCACAAGAAGTTAACACATTTTTTTTTCTCTTGGGCTCCTTACAAAACATAATAACAAATTGAGGGCAACTGAAACCCTCACAAATTGCAGAGAGTGTGGGATGATTAGGATGCACTCTATATTGTGACCAAATTGAGGATATAAATCCTCACAAAAGGTAGATAAGGGAGGGTAATCAGGCCTTCAATCTGTAATCTACCCAAAGATTTAATTGAGAACCAAAGCAAAAGCAAAACAGACTAGGGGTTGCACAGGGAATCTCACAATTCAGACAGATGATTTCATTCATTTGTCTTCCTTCTGCTGTCTCTGTCCTGGGTTACAGCAATCTGCTGCCAACAAGCTGACCTCTGAATCCTAGAAAAGGAACCCAGGAAAATCCTAGGGGTGCACCTCTTCCCTTCAAAGGTGGCAGATGGTCTCTCTGGTTGGACTCCAGTTGAAGCCCAACATGGGCCATATCAATTAGCATTTTCCTTCCTAACCAATGCTCCAAATATTGCTGAAGGAATTGGCAAGTGAAACACAAATAAAGATGAGCTGAATGGAAGTGAAATAAAAAGTTTATTTTGCCTGAAAAGGATTGATCACATTCAAAAAGTCACTGGCAGTGACTGACCTATTGGGTCGTAGCTCCCCTTCTATAGGTTTTACAGCCACGATCATATTCAGGTAGTTACATTTTATTTCCTTCATTCATCTTACCCAAGTACAAATTACAGTAACAAGACAGTTCACTTTAACCCATACATAAAAATTCTTTGAAGTTAGGGAGTTTACCTTAAGATTTGTCTAGCTATCTATTCTAGTGCACAGGAAGAGAGTGTTCAAGGCTAGGGATGAAATCAGATGTACCACATCATGGTGCCTCTGGTGTCTGTTAATTTTAAACTAAACAAAGAAGATTGCTGTTAAGTGACAGAAAAAGTCATTTTACATTTTCCTAACATTTTGTAGGTTTTTAGATTATTTACAAAAGTTGTCTGTTTTAATTCAATTATTTTTTTCTACCCGAGACCCAAAAGTTTGAGCTACTAACACACTGCAGAAGGGAAGCTATCCTATTAATAAGTTTCCACAAAGCTTTCTTCATATCCCCATTCCTCAGACTGTAGATGAAGGGATTCATCATTTGAGGGATCACAATATACATCACTGAAGCCACTGCAGCCTTTCTGGATGAGTCAGTTATTAAATAACTAATATACACCCCCAAACCTGTACCATAGAACAAGGTGACAACAGAGAGATGAGAGCCACAGGTAGAAAATGCTTTATACTTTCCTTCTGATGATGGCATTCTCAAGATTGATGATACAATGTGAACATAAGAAACCATGATGCCAAACACAGCAACACCACCAATGATGAAAGCTGCAACATATATTACTATGTTATCAACTAAAGTGTCAGAACGAGTGAGCCTGATTATCTGGGCGAGTTCACAGAAGAAGTGTGGGATTTGCATCTCTGTGTAGAAGGACAGCCTTAGGATCATCAGACTGTGGAGCAGTCCATCCATGATGCTAAAGAAAAAGGAGGAGAGAGTCAATAATACACACACATGGGTGCTCATGATGACCGTGTACCTAAGTGGATGGCAGATGGCCACATAGCGGTCATAGGCCATTGCTGCAAGGAGACAACTTTCAAAACCACAAAAACCCAACACTAAACAGATCTGAGCAAGGCAGCCTGTGTAGGTGATGCTTTGATCTTGTGTTTGGATGTTCACCAGCATCTTTGGGACAGTGGTTGTGCTTAAACAGATGTCATTAAGGGACAAGTAGTAGAGGAAGAAGTACATGGGGATATGAAGATGGGAGTCAGAGCTGATGGCCAGAATGATGAGCAGATTCCCCAGTACTGTTACCAGGTATATGGATAAGAACAGGCTGAAGATGAAGGGCTGCAGCTCTGGGTCATTTGTCAGTCCCAGGAGAAGGAATTCTGAGAGAGGTGTTTGGTTTCTAGCTTCCATGAGTGGGCAATCTGATAAAAAAGAAACAGTGAATATATGAAAAGTTATAAGGACTGACAGAGTCAGTATAACAGGACAATGTGTTAACATCCCATTTCATGGATAGATTGATCTTTGGAATTTTATTTCCACACCTATGAGAAAAGTTTTTCTCTAATATCCTCCTTTCTGAAAGATTTCTTTATGGCAGATACAAGGGATAAACTCAGAAAACTCTCATTGCATCTTATGAAGGAGAAAAAAGTAAATGGAAAATTATTTTGTAACAGCCATTGAGTTTGAGCAGATACAAATTTTTCTCTGAAAAAGTCATCCTTTAAAGAGGACAATGAAAGCCTGCTGACCTACAGCCAAAGCAGATGGGATGTGATTAAAATCCACAAGCAATATTATACTTTTTAAGCATTTTTCCAATAAACAATAGATTGGCAATTATTAACCTTAAAATATGCCCCCTTGCCTCAAACACTTTTTTTGTTCTTACCACTTACTGAATCAATTCATGGAGTCCCATTTCATGAGTATATTTAGTTTCAATGTTATTTCTGCCTTAATATCTTCCAATCCAATTTTTATCTTTCATGGTAATTTTGATTTTGTTAAGAGTCAGAAGTCGAACAGCAGATCTGCTGCACAAGGGGATGTGAACATACTCCTTGCCTCAAACACTTTTTTTGTTCTTACCACTTACTGAATCAATTCATGGAGTCCCATTTCATGAGTATATTTAGTTTCAATGTTATTTCTGCCTTAATATCTTCCAATCCAATTTTTATCTTTCATGGTAATTTTGATTTTGTTAAGAGTCAGAAGTCGAACAGCAGATCTGCTGCACAAGGGGATGTGAACATACTCTAGAGCTATATCCTTGGCCTTAAACTGCCGTCTTTTTACAGAACACTGCCTTTCCATTAGATGGCACATGGTAGCAATATTCACTGTACTTTTTATCACACATCATAAAGATGTTCATTAAAAAAGGACTTCTAGAATTGCTTCAGGCAGTGACAAGAACAATGGGGAAAAACACATTTTCTTTATCCATTCATCCACTGATGGACATATAGATCACTTCCAAGATTTAGCTCTCATGAATTACACTCCTGGAAATATGGATAAGCATTTATCACTGTAACATGTCTTTAACATTTTGGGGAAGGCACCTAGGAGCAAAAGAGCTGATTGAATGGAATTTCTATTTTAATTTTGTTTATATTTTGAGAAATCTCCATACTGGCTGTGCTAATTTACATTCCCATGAACAGTGTGAAGGGTTCCTTTTCCCCTCACAGCATCAACATAATTTTTTATTATTCAATTGCTTTTGAGGAATGTTGAAAACATAATATTAAGTGAAATTAATCAGTATCAGAAGCTCAAATATCATACACTTTCTCTTATACAAGGAACAAGAAGCACAAATAAATTAAAGGGAAAAATAAAACACAGATAACAGGAAGCATGGTGATAGAACTTTTGCAAATGGGAAGGTGACTAAGAGAAAGACAAAGGAGGGATTGTTATGGATGGGCATATAAAAATTACAATATGGATGTGGTTTTTCTATAAAATGGAATATTACTCAGCCATAAAGAATGAGAAAATAGATTCATTCATAGGAAAATGGATACATATTGAAGATATACTCCTAAGTGAAATAAATAAGTCACACATGTGTGAATACCAAATAGTTTCTCTGGTGTGAATAATCTGCAATAATACATAAGATACTAATAAGATTACTGACATTGAGAAATGGGAAGAAAGGAGCTAAAGGTGTAGGGAAGGTGAGATGGGAAGGGGAAGGGTAATAAGGGAAAAGAAAAAATGTGAGATAATGAAAAGATAAAAATAAAGTGTTTGTAGATGGGGAGGGGAGGAGGGGGTGAAGGGAGGGCAGGGGTAAGGGGAAAAAATGAGAATCAAGACTTGTCATGTAGAGGTACAAGATCCCAACAATGAATGTAACTGTACTGTGTCCCTAAAATGTACCAATAAACTCAATTAAAGCTGAAAAAAATTAAAATATGATCATGGAATCTCCCCTGCTTGGTAAGATGTGTTATGAACATGTACCAACTCCACAAAATAAATGCAAGCACTATGTACTACAAACCCGAACTAACAAAACCAAAACATTTTAAAACTTCAAAAGAGCTTAAAAATTGGATAATTCTATTTAAAGAAAGAGGGGTATGTAATTTGAGGGGTATGTAATTTGAGGGTATTATTAACAATCCATCCTTCCTAATGAATTTTTAAAATTTAAATGTGTACTGTATACCTGGGTCATATTTTATATATGTCACTGTATGAGCCTTGAGAGAGTCATGGACTTTCACCTTGTTAACTTATGCATGTCCTCTCCTCTTCATTCAACAGGAAACTACATGGATTATCCGTTCTCATTTCTAAAGTGTTAAATTAAAAAGTTCATGTTCCTTGTTTGGCTTCAAGGTGAAGGACAGTGAACATCATACCTGAATGCTGCAGATGGATGCTTTGTCCTCAGGAAAAGCAGACAGACTAAAAGTGTGAGCAGCAATGCATTGTGATGTTCTCACTAGCTGATCCTCCAGATTCATACCCTTTGGGTGCTCAATGTCCAAAGGTCCTCATTAGACTATATTTTCAGCTCTGATTTTAATCCCAGCAGGACACCTCCTTAATGACCTAGGCTATGGAGGTGCAGCATTCATGATGGGTGATTTTTTGAACCTTGAATCCCAGGAAGCCCCATCCACTGTCTCCATTTTTCCTGCTCATCTCCACTCAGGGACTTTGCCTGAAAAAACACAAAACACTTCCCTAATAGGGTTCAGCATTACTTGTTATTTACAAATTGATTCTCCATTTCATGATGCTGGGAGATCTGGTTCTGACATTAAGATGTAAAAAATACAGCCTAAATGAGTGAGTACAAAGGATGTAACTGCGAATAGCTGAAGTCTGGAAGAATGCAACATTTAGGGGTATCTTTCCTTATATAACATTGATGTTGGGTGAACCTTATTTTTTCTTCTTCAGAATTGACATAGAAAATTCTAAATTTTTTATGATCTCTGTAGTAAAAATAATTCTGCTTTGAATTTTCTAAGTACCTTCTTAAATTTTGTTATAACAAATTCACTTGAGCTTTATTTCCATTTCTTAATGTTTTTATTTTTATAGTATGGGGGATTGAACTCAGGATCTTATGCTCACTAGAAGGGGTGCAGCACCACTAAGCTACATCCTTATCCCCTCTCCACACTTTATTGAGTGTTACTTCAACTACCACACTCCCAGAAGGTAACAGTGTGCAGATGTGGCCGTTACTTAGTACACATAGGCAGATATCACACACCAGTTCATGGGTGGAGAAGTTACTCCATGCTGGTGTTCCTTCCATATTTCAGCACTTTATAGTTTGCAAACACTATCAATTTAATTTATAGCATGTTCTGTGTTTCTAAATGACTTTTTGATTTACAAGATGGATTGCTGGAAATTTTTGACAAGATAGCTTGTACATTCTTTCTTCACATTCTTAATTTAGATTATTTTAAAATAAAAATAACAGATAAAAGTACAAAACAGAGGGCTTTTAGTTATTTCATGTAATATGAAGAAATAATAATATTATTAAAAGATAATTTTCCACAGGAAGGAAAGAATGAGTTCATAGCATACCTAAGAAACAGGATTTAAGGGTATGATTTATCTCCACATCCAATTACTTCCTCTTTCTACATAAAATAGATTCAGTGTCCTATGTTAGATTATTTTCCCAGGCAGATATACAGATTTTATATATGTGAAATGTAAGAGTTAGATATATAGAAATTGTAAGATGAGTGCCTTGGAATGGCTTCCACCATTCTGATAAATATCTTCCTTCTTCATCTTAAAGTTTCTATTTCCTACCTCATGCATCACCAGTCATAAATAAATGTGATGCATGGGCAAGGCAAGGCCTGTCTTTATAAGGAATGAATGTCCAAGAATGGCCCCTGAGTGGCTTCCCCTGCAGCTGACAGGATCCCCGACCCACCTGCACTAGTCACCCCGTATATAACCAAGCCCCTTCCCCTGCTAATTCCCCTCTCCTTGTTTCCCTTTCACCTAGTTTGCCATTGTGCTGCCTTGGCTTTTAATAAAGACCTCTCATAGGAGCTCCATGGGTGTGCTGAGTGATCCTTGGCAGGCGCTGGTTTCTTTCAGAAATATGAAAGAGTGGCTTAGACCAATGGCTGAATTCCAAACACCTGAATGTTCCAGGAAACACTAGTAGGAGTAATTAAACAAAGCTCACTGGAGCTTAATGGATGGATTTGTACAATTCCCCCCATCATGAAATGGTAGAAATAAGTAAACTGAATTCCAGAGCAGAGACATGACCTGTGATGGACAGGAAAAAGTGTGAATCTGACAGATGAGTATTGAACACAAATCTCACTTACTTGATGATGTTACATTAGCATTAATATACATTAAGCTATAATACATCTGGTTGGATTGACCTCAGATAAATGTGAGAGGAAAAATATTGATGACTTAGTACAAAATATCTTTTGGGAAGTTTTGCCTAAAGGGAGAAAGAATGATTGTGTGGCTAGAACAGAATGAGAGATCTAGTCTGATTTTTTAATATCAGAAAAAATAACGTACAAGTAAATCAATGATGTCAAACTACACAGTTGACCTAATACTACCACTTGATGTGACTCTGAAATACCAGATTGAGAATACTGATGGTTAAATACAATTCCATAAAATCTGGAATACTACACATGAATAAAGACATACAGATGCGCTTTAGCTTTCAAGGTCTCCAGATGTCTAATGAAGTGGTCATATTTAGCAATTTGCAGAATTAAAATCCTCAGGCCTTAGGTGTGACCACTTCTATTTGGATGAGATGTGTATTTAATAAGTACTTAATGATTTTACTAGTGTCTGTTAAAGTGATATGTTAAACATATTTTTCCAAAGCACAGAAAGGAGAGGAAAGATAAATTAGCGAGAAGTCAAAACCTACAAAACATTCCACATATGTCATTGAATTCTAAATAAATGTT